TTCGATTAATCGAGCGGTTAACCGATTAATTTTCAAAATAATCGAAAATAAACCATCGAAAATTGACAAATCACATCACGCAATATTGTATGAGTAAAAATTACGTTACAAAAATTGGAACTCTTATCACTCAATAATATTAGCAACAATAAAAGTGTCACTCCACTCGGTACATACATACATATTAATAATTTTATTAGTTGGGAGGTCTTTTACACTCTCGTATTTTTAAGCGTTATTTTTGCAAAAAACCGCAACACGTATTTAACCAAAGTAGCTACTAAAAAATCCCAACGCAGGTATGCACACATTTTCATTTTATTTTCCAAATTCGGCATTGCGCACAGTGTTGCCAGGTCTTCGGCTAGAAAAAACGTCCCTTTTGGTCTGAAAAAACGTAATTTCCTACCCAAAAACTTCTTTTTCAAATGTATGCACAGAGAATTGCTCTTATTAAACTTTTATTGTATACAAAGGTAAATAAGTATTTATATTAAAATATCATTTCGACAGAGCACATTTAAAATTCATTGTAAACTGCTTTGGGATCGTTATATAAAAACCATTTTATACATACACTTGTGATCAGCTGATTAAGTCATCAACATTTTGATCGATTGTGGCTGTTTTTGTTTATTTAATGTTTATTATTTTTTCCATAAAAGCCTAGATTTTTATATAACAAACAAAATATAAATCCACATTTCAAACTTTGTGCAAAAATTATAAAAAATCTGCAAAATTTCAGCTAGATTTTCACCTTTTTATACAGATTTTTAGGAATTAGGCTAAAGAATAGCGTTGATTTTTAATAATTCTTTTTCTTGTAGCATTTGGTTAGGTAATCGGTTGTCGAAAATGCTAAATTACGGTCTGTAAGAAGGAACATAGCAATATTTCTGCCGTTTTTTGCGTTCATTACATTTTCACGGCATTCTTAAACAAGTCGCCTACTTTTTTCTGACTTTTTATGCTGCTACAGCTTTTTTGGTGGTTTTGCGAGCATGCGTGTTGCATTCGATCAGCTCTTCCTTATTTGGCTTTTAATGTGCGATTGCAAACATTGCAATAAGCCTCGTAACCTCAAGTGTTTACAAAACCAGCCTTTGAACGCGGGATCCTTAGTCCAAGAATCCAAAAAAATGCGCGTACGCTTGGTTTGCATCATAGTTAATTCATCTCTGTCCAAAGAATAAATATCTGTTGTAGAAAAGTGCTGCGAAGAAATGCTTGTAAAGATTTGTTAAGAAAATAATTCAAAATTAGTTCTACTTACAAGATTTAGATTTAGATTTAGAAGAGAAAAATTACTGGGAAGTTAAAAACGTCATTTTTTACACAAAAAACGTCCGAACGTCAACAGGATACAAAAAACGTCCAAATGACGTTAAAAACGTCGACCTGGCAACGCTGTTTGCGCATATTCTTTGTTTTCATATGGAAGAAAATAAGCAACACCGTTACCACAAAAATTATAAAAATCAACGGTAAGTGCCAGATACTTCAGTCTTGCAATTTTTTATACAAAAATTTAATGGGCTACAAATCTGCATATCAATTGCAATTTTTTATACAAAAATGTAATGGGCTACAAAACTGCATACCAAAAATCTTTCTAATAAATCTAATTAAAAAGCTCCAATTTTTTGTTGATTTTTTTTAATATTACACAAAGTTTGATATATTTTTATGGATATGTCTTTTTGCAAAAGAATAAGCTACATTAAAAAAAACAACTAAAATTAAATAACAAAAAAAATTATTTTGGTGCGCTATAATTTTGACACGGGGTGTAAGTAAGCTTTTATAACTTATAAATAGTTTTTAATAATTTTTTTATATTAATCGAAACGACCGATTAATCGGTTAATTTCTTACGATTAATTGCAATTATTAATCGAATGCTTTCGATTAATCAATTAACCGATTAATCGATTATTAAGTTTTTTTTGCCATCACTAGGTATGCCGCAGGAAATAGGCGTAAAAATAGCAGCGTTGAAATCATGACAACAACAACACCAACAAATCGTGCAACAGCCTGGGCAAAAAATTACCGAAGGAAAATCGAAGTGAACCTGAACCACGTTGGCCTTTTGGGCAGCAATTATACGTATGTATATACAAGAAGGTTCAATAAGAAGTCACCCGAATATGCGAAAGGGTTTCAATGGTACCTCGGCGAAAGGCGAGCGATGCCACTAATGTTTGATTGGTGGAATTTTGTCGGTCTACGCCTATATCAAACCCCCGGTCCCGACAAGCGGACGGTGTTCGCATGTAAATCATTTCATGTGATGTATGGTATGCATTTTTTTCGCGTGCAGTGGGCTGTCAAATGCAAATATGCTCTAAATAAAGTGGAGCAAGCTATTTTCGCAAATAAAGTTTTTGGAGAGAACACGTAAGTACCGAAAGCAAGTAACTAAAGTGCAAGGTACGATGAAAGATCCACGTAAAAAATATCGTTGCGATAATTGTTTCGCATATCCTGGAATTGACAGTTTGCCTGCGATATCTCATCGAATAGATATATACGCAGTAGAGGTGACAAAATGAAAACGAGGTGGTTGGCGAAAGTTGGTGAAATTACTATCATTATTTTGCTTTATATGGAGCAGCGTCAGTGGTGCAGCAGAAGAGCCACTACAACATTTGCACTACCACACCTCGGAATAGAATAGAAAAGTATCTTAAGTATAATTATGAAGACACAAACGATAAATAAGAGACATGTCCTAAAATAATGTTTGAGGCGTAATTTAAGAAAAAAATTAAGAAAATGAAATATTTTGAATGGCTGGACTCAAGTATATAGCATTAAAATTGCCCAGATGTTATAGACTACATATATACATGTATGCATGCATATTAATCTATTTGTATTGAAACTTAGTAGTTTCAACAGGGGCAATATGTTCATACCCTGTAGGGAAACCCCGAACTGGTGAACCAAATTTGTAGTTCCGTACTACATTTTTATCGCCAAAAACGAACCAGTCCGTTAGTAACTAGATCGGCTTCAGTTCAAAAGCAGCGATATGTGGTACTTTTAAAAAACAATTTTAGAAATCTATATCTAAAATTACGAATTTAGAACTGGTTCAAAACTATAGAAAAA